TAGACAGTCAACATTACTGTTATAGCACTAGTAGACAGTCAATATTACTGTCATATCACTAGTAGACAGTCAACATTACTGTTATAGCACTAGTAGACAGTAAACATTACTGTTATAGCACTAGTAGACAGTAAAAATTACTGTTATAGCACTAGTAGACAGTAAATATTACTGCTATAGCACTAGTAGACAGTAAAAATTACTGTTATAGCACTAGTAGACAGTCAACATTACTGTTATAGCACTAGTAGACAGTCAACATTACTGTTATAGCACGAGTAGACAGTAAACATTAATGTTCTAGCACTAGTATACAGAATTAAGTAACAATCTGTCAACAGACTTAAAGTACAGATGAACTACAAAGGAAACTTTGTTGGCTAGTCTCTTCGCTGAGAGTGTAATTTATTTAAGTATTTTTCAGCTACAATTTACGACAGAGAATAATACGTTGTTTTAAGTTCAGCGCCAGAAAGTACATATTTAAAGTCAGTGTATATTTAACTTGAGCTCAGTATCCTTGAGCCGATTTTTAAAGAATTTCTCCCATTATTAAAAGTCGGAAGTTGGCGAAGCAACGAAACCAATAAAGACCGAATTTTAAACCTATTTGATTTCATTTCTACGCTAGCTATCGCTGTTTAACATCATAATATTAAACCCTTTATACTACATATAAGTAAGCATTTCGAACAGATTTATTTCTGTCATCATCTCCAGCCTAGCTGACGGGATACGATACTGAGCGACCGACGTCCTAGGCAGGGACATGTAACAGAATAGACCATAGGTTTTAATACACGACTCCAGTTTAAAATCCGTAATGGAAAAGTCTTGTCAGGTTTATTTAAAAGTTCAGAAACACAACTTTTCGAGTGCATTGTTTTTTAACTTTATAACAACGTTTCGACCACTCGTGTGGTCATCATCAGATAACCTGTCATCTATTTAAGTAGACAATGGACTTTCTCTCACATCTTGTTAATGTTATACAGTGTCGCACGTTAAAAAACTATCGGTTTAACAAAGTTCAACATGTGTGAATGAATGTCACTCGAAACCTCGGTTTCATTAGCATGGAGACGTGCCCACTAGATATACTTACCAGCACTGTACCAACTGATACACGTGTCCATTAGATATACTTATCACCATACCAACTGACCACTAGATATACTTACCAGCACTCTACCAACTGACCACTAGATATACTTACCAGCACTCTACCAACTGACCACTAGATATACTTATCA